GACGGGAGAGCCCGCTCCCGGTCCCCGCCTCCTGGCCCAGGGGACAGCCCCGGCCCTACGCCGGCCCGCCGCCTGTCAGCGGCCGGGCGGAGGCGATCGGGCGGACCCGGCCTCCCCGGGCGCTTCTCCCCGGCCCGCAAGTTGCTCTCGGAGAAGCGTGTCGTGCCCGGTGTGGCTGCTCTTAATTAATGCCGTTGTCGACTTACTTTTTCGTTGCGCTAGCGTTGCTGCTCAGGGACCCGCAGTTCCGGGGTGTAACTGTTTCCTGGTCTCCTGTCGAAATCTGACCGAGACTTGTGACTCGCGTTTCCCCGCAGGATTCGGTGCTCCCATCCCTCCCCTCCACCCGGCTGAGCTGGAGCCCTTCGCCGCTGCACTTCACAGCCTGGCACCTTAATGGAAACAGCAGCTGATCGTGGCCCGAGGTGACGTACGGCTGAGGAGCGGGCATCCCGTTTTGTTTTGCCGCAGCTGTGAGGATGGTAGCCTTTGGCGGGCCTTGTAGCTGGGATTTAAATTGGCTTTCCTCAAATAATCGGTTTCCTTGAGTTGGAGCCTGAACTGAGGCCTTTCAGGGCTTTAGCATTTAAGGAGTGTAATGCTTTAACGTGATTCTGAAGTGCACTCTGACATACTTCGTCAGGAAGAAATTGTGTTAGGAAAAAGCGTGTATGACTCCAGAATGACTCTAAAGGTTGTTCTTAAGTTACTAGACTCTGAAAAAGAATTGATCGCAACTTCTGATATTTCAAGCTAAAAATTTCAATCAGAACAATATAAATAGTGTTACATATTTTAAGCAATATGCATGCTGTATTTGGCTTGTGCTTTGTAACAGTTGCCACATTTATAAACCCTGTAACAGAATGAAATCCAAGCTTTTCCTTTAAAGGAATACGTTTATCTTGTATTGTGCCTGTTTTGCAGATATTTGTGGGGTTAAAAGATTTGAACTGCAGCTAAGTAAAACAAGGGCTGAAAAGTGAAGGATGGCAGCAAATCCTTCAGGACAAGGTAAGTTTTAATCTAAGTATTCAAGGGGAAAGGCTATGTACAAAATGTCAGTGAAGTCACCAAAACTGTAAGTTTATTTACAGAAAGCAAAAAGGGAAAGAGAGGCAGGAAGGTGGGGGTGAAAATAGCAGAATGTGAGCAAGCCTTCTGGGAGAATTATTCACATTGAATAATTGAAAAAGACCACTGATGGCAGGGGAGCTCTGAATTACTGTGCATTCCTTCTTGCTCAGGTTATGAAGTACCTGTCACGCCTGTGGTGCTGTGGTTATTTCCTGAAGTGTGTTTATGACACTTAAGACGCTTAGCGTTGAACATGACTTGCAGCTGTTGCGCTTCGCATCAGGGAACCGCCAGAAGTCAAGTATATTCCATGTCACAATGGGAGCAGAAAGACCCAGGGAAGTAACAGCAAAGACAGATAGCAAGTGGCCAGGCCTGGGAGGAAAAGCCAAATAAAATCATAATGCTAACTCCGATGAAATGTTTCTTTGTATGATGACTCATCTGAATTGCATCCATAAAATCGTTCAAGCTGTGGAAATGATCCATGTATCTAGCCGAAGCACGTGCGTTAGAAGGAGCTGAGAGTCTGGGGGCGGGTCGGTCACACGGTAAATTGAAGGAGGGTCTTAAATCGCCCTCTAGAGGTGCTTTCTGGAAATCTTAGTGGAACTCTGAGGCTTGTCTCTTCTATGGAAGAGCTGAGGAGAAAAAAAGCTTCTCAGATATGGCTCTTCACTTATCGGTTATGAGAAATGAATTCAGAATTCAGTTTCCCAGCAACCAGAGACTTCTTCATGCACATTTGTGAGTGTCCTTATCCAGGAAAGCAGTCCTACAAAGCTGGGTGTAGTTAATTCTGAAGTGCTGATGCTTTCAAGGGGTGCTAGATCACTCGTGTGGTTCCCTCCCCTCCCTCTGCAATGGCTCTCTGCTTTCAAAACAAATACAGAAGAAATGTGTTGGTCCAAAAGACAGATTTTTCTTGCTACCTGACAAAAAGAAGGTAGTTTTTGGAATGCTTATTGAGCTTTTGTGAAGTCTTGAGAGAGGAGTACTGCAGATGGCAGATAGTCTTTTTGCAAATTCTAACTCTGAGAAGTTTTTGGTATGTAATGGTAAATCTTGCTTTATTGTGTGAATACCAAGTCAGCATCCTTGCAAGGAATAAAATACTGTCATAGAGACTTAAAAGCTACTTTTTCTTAAATATGTGAATTTACTGAGAGGTTGGGTTGGATTTTATTGCCAGAAAGCCTTTGCTTGCCTCCACATTCCAGAGGCTTATAATTTAATAGACCATTGGAATCTGCTTTTATACTTTGAGATACTCTTTAGAGACTCAATAAAGGAACTGTTTCATTATCATATGAAAATTTTTGCACTAAGCAGGCAAGAAACACTATAAAGTTTAATCACCCAAATGAGCCTATAAATAATATACCTAGGAAAATTGGAAAGGAATGGGTAAATATTAGCAACAGTTCAAGGCGTCTATAGGTACCGTTCAAGCAATTCATTCTTTCATTTCCCTCTTCTTGGATAAAAGGAATAGGGATTTACTGAAACACTCACTGGAAGGTTTATGAATGGTAGCACTTAACTCAGAACTGTAAGGATGAATTAAACATTAGCCTTCTACACAGGTAGACTGTGTAATTTTTTCTACTGAGTTGTTTCTTTCCCTTTAATGAGTACCAGGTATTTTCCTAGGAGTTAATTGAGTTTTCTGTTAATTGGGAGATTCAGACTACAACGATTAAGATTTTGTGGACTGGACTTCCTTTAATTCATTGGCTTCTTAGGAAAGTAGTCTTTTAATTAGAATTTCAAAGATGAGGAGCTACATATGAATGCAGCAAACCTAAATAGAATTGCATTAAAGCCTTACTTCAGGCTGTTAGTACCACGTGGAACTGATTGCATGAGACTGATTACAGTGTTTGAAAGAAATGGAAAAGCTTTTAGCATGCTGTGTATTGTCCACAAGATGAGCTCATAGACCAGAGTGGTAAATCTGGGAGGGGGTGAGGGGGGGATGAAAATCAGCTTCTGAATTACAGAAATTACTTTCAGGTGCTTGGTAATACACTGCTTCTGCAGCAATACTTCACAGTACTTGTGCAACATGCATTAATAAGGCTGCTCTTGTAATGCTTTTGCTTGTGCACAGCAAGGCCAGAGCATACCTTGCATGTTACTAAATTAAAGATGCTGTGTGTGAGCTCTCATAGAGGAAGCCTTCTGAGATAAAAGCAATGTGACTGTTCAGGAAGGAACTCTCCTTTAGGTCCTCAAAGGTGAAACAAATACAGGTCCTGCTTCAGACAGGGCTGAACTTTTCTGAAAAGAAGAGTTCTGGTATGTTGGAAGAACCAAGCTCTTTAAATACGTACAGAATTCTAAGCTTCAGGCTGTAGCAAATCTACAAGGTCTCTTTCTGTCCTGGCGGTTGTTTATCCTTTTGGCTTAAAGGTATGTGAGCACATTCGTGTAACACAGTGAGCAGCTGATATAGCATTCTGTTCACAGAGTCTGTGTTAAAATGGAAGATTGTGCTGTTCTGCCTTGATTTATGCCATCATCTACAAACTTTGCTGCTCTGCATCTGAGTCTGATCTGTGTGCAAGCATAGTACTTGAGGGCTGTAGCATATCTCTTCCCTGGAGAACTTTGTGGCCATAAAGCAGTCAATGACTTGCATTCAGCTATGCAGGTAGCTGTTTTCTGGAGGGACAGATGAAATATATTAATATATATCTTTTAGGAATTCAAGTTAATTTACTGAATTACTAATATGCCTTTTGTTTTGTTGTCACACAACGTATATGAAAAGTATATCCGAATGTAAATTGTTACTGAAAAGTACTGATGGGCAGCAGACTATTAGGTGATGTTTTGTGATGTCAGTAGTTACAAGCAGAAGAGGAAATCAAAATACAGTTACTGCATCCTTTTTCCCAAGTATTGTGTGTTTAATAAGGTCTTTAGATTCTGCTTGTGAAGAGGTTGCTGCCTCACTTCATGAAGGCTAGCATTTATGAAAGCATGCACTTCAGTAACAAAATTCCTGTGAAATGGTTTCTGAATTGAGCAGGTGGAACAGTGCGTAGTGACAGTGCTATTTCATGTACAGACACTTCTACTTGGAAAAATGGTTTCAAAGCTGGATGTCTACTCTAAGGTATCTTGAACACAAAGTGGCTGTGGGCTCTTTTGTGCTGTTGCACATTTTATGGACAAATGATAAATAGTCCATATTAAAAAAAACTTATACATACTGTGAATTTGAAGCAACCAACAGATCAGGGAAAAGATATGAGATGAAAAGCAAGAACTTAAAGTAGATAAAGCTAATACTGTTTCTTGCCATGCAGAGTTAGCTAGTAGAACTGACATAGATATCAGTGAGGTAGGGTGATAAGATTAGGTGTTAGGATTAGTTGGAGAGTGAAACTTGCTGTGAGCTCTTAAAGCTATCAGTATCAGTTGGCAAGGCTTCAGCCTTCTCTAGTTTTCTGCCTTTCACATGCAAAACATCAACAAGCAAACTTTTAGCTCCTGCACAGAACACATAATACAGTGCTTGATGTCAGAAATAGATGTGTCAGAGCAGGTTTGTATTTTGAATGTCCTGAATCTGCTACCTTAGAGATCCAGGTGCTCAGTTTGACATCTGACACTGCCATTAATCTATCTAGCTGCCTTGAACGGGTCTTTTTGTGTCGGGGCTTTTGTGTCTGCAAAGCAGAGAAGAATATTAATGAACTGCAGTAGTCATGAACTGTTCAAACTCAAAATAGTAGTGCTACTCAGCCCAGTTAAGGGAAGTGTAAACTTAAAGCTTTATTAAGAAGTTGCTGTGTTTGAAAGCCTACACTTCCTTTTACAGATGAGAATCTGTAAGGATGGCTTTTTTTCATGTCTGCATTTTTATTACTAGAAAGTGGAACAGATCTGTTAAATCTACAGATGAAAAATTACTTTGTAATTGAAGTAGGAATATTCCGTAGCTGTTTCAAGTTGGTCTTTATGGAAGCACTTTGGGGTCCTGGGCAGGGAAAAATCTAAATGGAAGTCTTGCTTATGTATTGCCAGATATGATTGATTATTTTGTAAGGATGCCAGATTTTCTCTCTAAAATGGATTTCTCATGTCCCACCCCCTCCATTGTTAACTTTTAAATGAACAGGTTTTACGTTGCATTTTAAAAAAGTTTAAAATAGCTGTAGGAACTTCACATTGCTCAGGTGAGGAGCACTAACATGTACGTGTTGGATGTCCTCCTCCATTTTCTCAAGTAGGGTTTTTTCTACTTATCACTAACAAATTCTCTTAAATAACTTTTTCAATACAGCGGGTTGCTGATGGGTACTGTCTGAATTCTAGACCAAAATACTAATTATTTTTTTAAACGCTCTTAGTAGAGGGAGAAGAAAAGGAAATAAAAATACTTGGGTTTCTTCTGAATTTCCTCTAGAGTTTATGCCATAAGATACTATAGCAAGTCTCGTACTAAAATAGAAGACAGTGATAATCTTGCACAGTTTCTGATCATTTTAAAAACAGCATTTAAAATTTTATTCTTACACATGCCTCAAGCCTTTCTGAATCATACCATCTGCTTCCTGCTAAATATAAGCATATTTGGTCTTTATTTTTTAGCTGACAGCAGCTTATATTAAAAAGTGGTCTCCTTTTTCTTGCCTCAATTACCATATCATCTGAATTCCAAGCATACATTTAGATTTATGCAGTTTGGTGTGAACAAGCACTAGCGGAAGGCTGCTGAGTAATATGTCAAGTATTAAGGTTTTTTTGGCTGAAAACCCTAAAGAATGAGCATACAGACATGATCACTTTAGCTCAGACCCCTTTTAGAGGGACTTCATTCATCCTATTACGGCATTGTCTCCAGAATTTACAAGAAAGTAAAGTCAGAGCTAGCTACAACTCCGAAATGTTGAATTTTAGCTTGTTAGCAAGTTCTCTCAGCGTTTGTGTCTCTTAGAGCACATATTTAGCTGTGTTCTAATGTTTCAAACTCATTGCAAGTGCAGGGTGTTCAAAAAAAGATAGTGTACAATACCTGAAGAACAGAGAAACGTGGAAGACTGGAATCAATACGCTTACAGAACAGTGTAAGCCAGTGTAGCCCAACTTTTCACTGCTGGAGCCATGCTCCATCACTGGTATGTCTATTATCCAATCCATTAGCTATTACAGTAACCAAAGGTATATTTTCTCCTTCCCAGGGTATTTGCCATAAGGCTGATTGAACATATGGGTCTGTTGTAAGCCCCAAGAATTTGGTTGCATCTATGCTGTCTATCAAAACTGTGTTGCCTCCTTCCTCCATAAGCCATACCAACCAATGCTGCGGTTTTTCTCCTGGCCTCTGTTTATATTTCTCTAAAAGGTTTTTAATATCCTCAGGGGAATAATCTTCCATCTAATCCTGCCAGATAAATACACCATTAGGACCAGCCACCGCCTTCCGTTTTACAATGGGAGCGGCTCACTTCCCTGACTCAGGCACTGCAGAGGTCGGGGGTGCTGCCTCTTCCCCATCCATCTTGGTGGAATCATCGTCACCACTTTCCCATATATTACTGTCCCATGTCTCCGGATCCCACCTGGGGTCAGTTACAATTGCCCAGACATGATGACCACCCTTTGGCTTTTGGGAGCCCTTTGCCTCTGGTGGGCTGCTCGCACTGCGAAACGGGTAGCGAGATTGGCACATTTCTGCACCAACTCCTCCCGCTGTTTTGTTTCACTAAGGAGGGCTTGTTGTTGTACAATTGTAGTCACTTTAAGCTCCCGCAACTGATTCTCCAGCTGTTCAACTTTTGCCTCCAATTCCTGTGTTTGCCCCCATTGTACTTTATAAGCAAATAGGAGGGCACCCCCCATCTGCCCAGCATGCTTAAGAGGGTCCTTCCCCTTTGTATGTGATGTTTCTATGATCCCTTCCCAATATTTTAAAACCTCTATAGGGGATTCATTAGTCCATGGTTCTGGGCATACCTGAGTACAGGTTTCCCACTTGTCCCAAAGGGTGTTCCAGGGTCCAACCTGGTCTCTCAATTGGGGGTGCCAACCCACTGGTATCCATCTCAGATTTCCAGGGCATTTTTAGAGCCATTATGTCGAGTAAGCAAAAAGCTCTTTCCTATATCTTATACAAAAAATTATAAACTACTCCACCGTGTGTCAAAGGTGTAGTACACCTGCAACGGATACAAAAGAATTTTCTAAAAAATCTAGGGATTTATTGAACAGAGAAAAAATGTGCCATCTGCACCAACCACAATCTATATTAACAAAACACAAACAACTCCTACACAAGCAACAAGGACTCTGTCCTGTGGTTATCGGATTTCTCTCTAATCCTTCATGCAGGGAGCCTCACATTTACTCCCTCTGCAACTGAGTGGCGCAACCAACGGATAGCTATCAACTCCACTATCCATGTCCTGCCCACTTAAGTGGGTTCCAGTTTTAAGTGGAACTAGTGCCATGTGAGAAAGAGACTTTAACAGACAGCAAAGTAGAGATTAATTAAATTTAATTTAAAAATCTGTTAACAAATGTAAAGATGATTATGGGTGATCTTGCATAAAACCACAGTAAAATGTAATTGAATGACTGCTCCTTTCGAGAACTCTGAGACACTGAGGCTCAGGGATGTGTAAGGCATAGTAAAAGAAAAAGGTGAGGGTTTGATAGCAAGGCAATACAGATGCAAATTATTACTTAGAGCTGAAGGTTCCAACTGGATAATTTTCTCCTTTATTGAGCCATGCTGATGAAAGGAATATTGGATTATGTAATTGAGCAGCAACAGAAGATCTCTCAAAGGGAATGAACTTTGAGTGCAGCTACTGGAAATAAATTTGAAATCATTTTACCTTGACATGCTAATACTCCCCGTAAGAGTTAGCATGTCTGGCCTTCCAAACAGCTTGTGGGCTACCATTTTTTAGTAGTGGTAGCACTAAGCTACAGCACTCAGGACACGGATGAGGGCACAACACGCAGCAGTTTCCAATGGGAATAACTTTGACTTTTTGTATGAAGGAAATAAAGGAGATAACTTGACTTTTACATCTTGTTTTTATATGACAGTGTAGTGGCTTGATTTATAGAATAGAAGCTAATTAGAGATTTTAAAAAGGGTATATTCTTGACATGAGGAGTGTCCTTAGTGGCATAGACATCTGTCTGTAAGAGTCAGCTCTGTAGCTGTTGTCCTCAATTGTGCTGTACAAGCATACTGGGCAACAGCAGGGACTTGTGCATCTGGTTCATTTGGTGGCCACAATGAGATCCTTTACCATGTAAGAGTCCTGTGTAGGTACAGTGTCAGTTTTGCCGCATTTTCATTTAGAAGGCAACTTTGAAAATACAGAAATGACAGCTATTTTAGGCATTGTCTCAATTCCTCACCCCTTCTCAACTATACAAGGTCCCTTTGGGAGAATGATGTACAAAGCAAATAAAGGCCACATTCTCATATTTTGTCCAGACAGTTTAATTTTGTTTCTCTATTCCAGCATTGTGGTCATACTCGGAATAAGAGTAGTGTGTATATGTAAGGACATCAGGATATTAATCCCAAAACTTTTCTGCATAGATTAAATAGAAGGTTGCAATTTTGTGTATAAGCAGATGTGCAAGCTTAGTGGTTGTCTCATTCTTACCTGTTACATCTATAAAACTTGTATTATAGTTTGAGCTCACTGGCATGACAAATTAGGCCTTGTGAGTATACTACTCCATTATTATCATTGAATTGTACGTTCAGTGACTGCATTTTAAATTTAGAACCTGGTAAGTTTATCTGTTTTTTGAAAGGCAAGTATTTGATCGTGTATCGTGTTTATAGCTCCAGAGCTGGCTTGGGAAGGGGTAAGATATAACTTAAGATAGAAACCTGTATTTTAAAATGTATTAATATATATGATAGCTTCAGGAAGCTATTTTATGTTGCAAAATGAGAAAGGGAAAAATGAAACCTATTTAGTAATAGCCTTTCAGATGGGTGCAAAGCTTTGAAGATTAGTGTATTCATCATAATGTCATATTGTACAGAGACTTTTAATTCCGCAAGGTTAGAGTTGGGCCACAGAAATCAAGTAAATCTCTCTAATATTTTTCTGTCATTCCCACCAGGTTTCCAGAATAAAAATAGGGTTGCAATCCTGGCAGAACTAGACAAGGAGAAGAGAAAGTTACTTATGCAAAACCAGTCTTCCACAAATCACCCTGGAGCCAGGTATTTTATGTTCTTAGACCTGTTTGGACATCACTGATTACATCAAAGGGGGAAAAAAATAGCAAGTGAGCTGTAAACTTACATAAACACTTGTCAGAAGTGTTTTCTGACCATCCTCAATAACCAGTCAGTGAGACCTTGCACTTTAGGAACATACTAGTATTTAAAATTGTTTACAGACCCTGAATTTTGGCTTACATAATTTCCATTTGAGAAGGGGAGAAGCAGATATGCTTACTCAACTGTATTAAAGTCTACCTTAAAGAAGAATTAGGGAGCAGGCACTGAGAAAGCATTTAATTATTAAGGTAAAATGCCCTAAGGAATGGAAGTAGCAGACCATTAGGTTCAGGGTACTGTGTGTTTAGAGAAGAACAGTTACAGCAGGGAGTGAGTTATCCTTGAAATTCCCTGTGTGCCAGACAAAGCCAGTTTATGTTACTGCAGATCTTCTCGTAAAAGATGCTGTGTCGTAGGGATGATTCTACACCATAAGGTTATTACACCTATCTAATCTGAGTTTAAGAGCTGTCACGGATTTCTCCCATTTAAGACAAAAATATTAGATTGTTGTCATAAATCAGTAACTAGAAAATCACATGCCGGTTTACATGGAGAAATTGAGATAGTTGAATTTGTGGGTTAGCATGAAGTGAGTGCGGTGCCATATTACAGACACATTGTGTTACATGCAGTATCTGTACAAGAGTCAAATACTCTGAATAGTCTTGAGTGCTGCCTGTGTCTTTTCTCAAGGAGATTCTAGGTCACCTTTAATTCCTTCATACTGCCAAAAAGCATGCAGAATATTTGAAATCAGCGGAGTTAGATCACTGAGTGACTCTGTATACAGTTATTACTCAAGCAAAATTATTGATTAGAGAAGAAAATAGAAGTGTCATGCTGTTATGTACAACGCCTGACTCCTGGCAACAGTGTTTCCATACGTTATTGCAAGTCTGGCAGAGTTTCAGGGAGTGCTTGTTTGCTTTCGTTTTTCTTTAGGAAAAATAACAGTATACGCTATTGAGCAGAATTAGAATTTACTAATTTTGAAGGTGGGGATGAGTGGGAACCTACAAAGCAGCAGTCAAACTCTCTGCTTTGGCATGGTCGGCTGATGTGATTTTTGAGAAGCTGACAGTTCTGTGGCAGGGGTGTTGTGCCACAGGTTTTGGACCACAGAGTTGTCAGAAATGAGACCACAGAAATTACGCAAACTTGACAGGAAAGAGCTTGATGTACCTGAAGCACAATAGTGGCATGGCCAGTGTAAGGATGAATGAGTTAATTAATTTCTGGCCTTGGCATTTGGGAATCCTCTATCCAAGAACAGAATACCTCTCTTCAAAAGTGTCAGCTTATGATGAATCTTTAAGATTATCTACAGAAACCATATTGAGAAGTTAGAGGGTACAGAATTAAATGCAAAATAAATACCTTCAAAATAACTGAAAATACTATGTTTTAAATAAACTGAGTAATACTTTTCTCCAGCAGTGAAGCTTATCTTAATATTTGTCACAAAATCTGTTCAGAGGATTGTTACCTAGTTTTCATTGTGCATTTAGGCATAGATTTGGCTAAAGGTCTTTTCATGAGTATGGCTGCTTTTGAAAAACTGATTTACTGCATCAGCTGTTAACATTGAAGCTGCTGGGAAAGGTCAGGTGATGACTATGCTTGGATCCCTCATTGTCCTTCATACTTTCGTGTCTCTGACTGAGGAGAGCTGGGCTTTCAGCACCGATCTCCAGAGCCAGTTTCAGAGGTAGTTGCGAATTGCCTTGCAATACAGCTCTAATGGCAGTCCTCACTGATTTCTACCTGGAGGATGGCTGATCATGTTACTTATATAGAGCTGGGAAAAAAAGGTTGCTTTTTATTTCTTTTTTGGTTAACAAGGTGGACAAGTCTGAAGATATAAAAGCCAACAAAACCTATTTAGAAATTTTAATTTGAAACCTAATTATGCTGCACTGAGATAGAGAAGCAAAATCAATTTTAGGTAATCTAAGCTATCATCAGAGGATCATTATTTCAGTTATGTCAATAGGAAGCTCCTTTACCATAAGCAGTGATCTGCTGCCCACCTGCCAAAGAACTGGTCTTATACTGAAGACTGCTGAGCTCTTGTTAGTGCTTATGTTTATTGCAGTTGTTTAGAACAGTCACTGAGTGACTGAATACCGATGAAAACACAAAGCTGATGTTTTAAAAACAGCTGACATTGTCTAACATTGCACCCCAGTGGTTCCACTGACTTCAGTGGGACTCCACCAATGAGCAAAATCCACAACAGACTTCAGGACTGTGACTCTTCTGGGTTTAGTTTGGCATCGGTTATTTATGCTAGGTCAAATGATACAGCCATGCTCACTCATTTGCCTTTTCTCTCTTATGCTAACAAACAGTAATTCCAAACAATAGTTAATAATTGTCAAGCCATGAGTCAAATAAATCGTGAGCTGTGGAAGTCATGGAATCTATGGCTAGAATGGCAAGGACACGTTTTTTTCTGTGGTATGTGTCATACCATCTTGTTCTTTTTCGCAGCATTGCACTTGCAAGATCACCGCTGAACAAGGATTTCCGTGATCACGCTGAACAACAGCACATTGCAGCACAACAGAAGGCTGCACTGCAGGTAAGCTGATGCAGTCAGGTAGAGTTTAGCTTGGCTCTGTTGTAGATGTGCATCCCTTCAGAGAGCAGTCCTGCACCTAGAGAGAATGAAAAGCCCCATTCAGAGGTTAGGTTTCATACATTTCTGTATTTGTCACAAATGAAGTTTCTTCTTCTCTTATGATGAAAGCTTAAATCTGTCAACTCATTCTCCCTTGATATGGTTGTAATAATGTAGCCTACAGTATGATCATAGCTGTTTTGTACATCTCAGTCAAGAGTCAGTTTCATCATACTTCTGAATGTCTCATGAAGTGTAGGGAGAACTAGCCACATGGATTTGCTTGATTGAATCTGAGTAGATGCCAGGTAGATACCGTGCAGTTACATACAACAAGGTTGAAAGATTTGGAGAACTTGTACGTTCGCAGACTTCTATTTGCTGCTGTTTTGCTTATGTCAGGCAAGGTTGATTTTGGTGTTGAAATTGGAAATGGAGCAGGAAAGCCAGTACCTGGCCACCTGCCTTCCTGGCTCTCTAGACAGCATGATTTGGCATAGGGGACAGGAATGGGAAAAATGTTGAGATGCAAACTAGCAATGCTGTTCACGTATCCTATGCCTTGTTGTGTTTCTACTACCCAGTAAAAGCCCCACATTGCTTCCCCTAAAATGAATGGGAGCAGAAGTGAGCTCTGGGTGGTGTCCTCTGTTGATGACAGAACATTGTAGGCTGGAAGGATCCTCTGGAGGTTTCTAGTCCAGTGCCCTGCTCAAAGTATGACTAACAGCAGTGTTGTATTAGATTGTTCAGAGCATGGTCCAATCAAGTTTTGAAGCTCTCCAGGGATGGACTTCTCACAGCCTTTCTTGGCTGTGAGTCTGACTGTCTTCTCTATATACTGTCACTGGGTATCTGAAAACAGCATAAGATCTCCCCTTAGCTTTCTTCTTACAAGAAGCTCAGTCCTCTCACCATCTCCTTGGGTGTTAAGAGCTCCAGGCCAGCCCCCAGCCATCTCTTCAGGTCTCTGTTGGACTTCCTTCAGTTTGTATCTCAAACTGAACACAGTGTCTCAAATGCAGCCTCATGGGTAGCTTCCCTTGCTGATGCAGCCCACTGTGCTGGTAGCCTTTATCACTGCAAGGGCACACTGCTGGCTTAGGCTAAATTTGATACCTAGTAGGGCTTTTCCCTAGTGGTGGAAGGAAGGAATATGCAGGCTCACTAGCTTACTGGAGTCCAGTCTTTGAACTGGGAAGGACTACATAGGATTTTAAAAAGTATGTCTGGAGCCATAAGCAGCAGCTGCCTTCCTCAGTTGAACAAGCATATCTAAATCACATAGGCAGGATGATGGTGTCCCATGTTGTACAGGAGTGTGTCTGGTCACATGTCATTTGTACATGTGGGCTTGGGTTGTGTGACACTACTGATGCACACTTCTGGCAGTCATATGTGGCAGCTGTCACAAACCAAGACCTGTAAATTGGTTATAGATGAGAATGGAAGCATGGGGTCTAGGCAAAGGAGAGCAATCAGGAGTTCATTTACCACTCTCCCCACCTCCATGGAATTTGCTGAAAAAGGAGCAGCAGGGAATGGCCAAGTTAATTCCCTTGTTGGGCCCCATTCAGATGTGGCTGATCTAAAATGCTGTTTTTGAATTTGACTGTCAGAGCTGAGGAGCAGGCTGGCAGAAATAAATAATTAATGCTGCAGAAGCTATAAAGTCTTAAATTATATCAGTGCTGCAGGGAGTTATGCTTTAACAAATGTTTTTCTTTTTCCAGCATGCACATGCACATTCCTCAGGATACTTCATAACTCAAGACTCTGCATTTGGAAATCTTATTCTTCCTGTCTTACCTCGACTTGAGGCAGAATGAGGAATGTTGTTTCTCAGAACTGCAAGGTCTGATTTTTGTCCATAGCAGGAACTGTCTGACCTTTTAATTTCTTTTCTTATCTTAAAACCCGTTTTCTTCTGGATTTTTGTGGTTGCTTTTTGAGAGTGTGAGCTATAACAATGAAAAAGCAATGTTGCTGAACAGCAATTTTTATCCTGTATTTCCATTCTTCTGTCAGGTCAAAGTCAGACTTAAGACTTCCTTGGTGCATAGCGCTTGCTCTTCCCTGTTTCTGTGCTTCCTTTAAATAAATGTCCAAACCAGAGTCATTAAGAGATGCACACTCTGTCAGCATTTGTGTTTCTTTTTATTGTGTACAGGTATTATATTTGACTTTAATGAAAGACAAAAGTTACTTTTGTCCATCAAAACAAGACACAAATTTATCAAAAGCATCAGTCAGTCTTTTTTTTTTCCTTTCCCCCTCCCTGTATGTGCAGGAACATGGCTAGTGTACTGTTTGCTGTTGTAGTCTCATCTAGTCTCAAGTCCTTAGATATAGTGTGCCTGCCTCTTACTTTGTTTTGTGAAATATGAAAATGAATTAAAGTGGGGAAAAAGTAATTGTTTCAAACAGTCTTTTAACAGACGAAATAAAAGAAGTCTTTTAAGTTCTCTGAACACTTTGGATGGAAGGTGTTGTCCGCAAGGACAATTCATTTTAAAAGGTCACATTTTTCTAGTCATACCTCTTTCAATACTTTGTGTGTTTCATTTTTGTTTGCTTTCTTTCTTGCTGTTTTTATCGGTAGTAACCAATTAAAGCTCCAGGATGAAGGAAAATCTGTTGATCTTTTGAGGTAAATTATTTTTGAATTGTGATCATGCTACCAGGATAAAGTAACTTAGAGTGAAAAATAGACCTTACATAGATGTTCTTATATCTCCACAGCTTTACTAATACAATTATACTAGTACATTGATTGTTTTACCTATGGAGGCAAGTTTTAGAAAACAAAAAGAACAAGAGAACTTAAGTGAGAACCAGAAATCAGAAAGCATCTGTTAAATTGATGCCCATTTGAAGCAGCTCCATCCTTTGCAGAAACTTTTCTGTCCCATGATGTTTCCAGGGTTGTAGTCTACAGATTTCCTTAGTGACATTTAGGGTATCTTGTTTCCATCTGCAGGGGATTGCCTGATCCCAGTAAGCACTACTGAACTGTAAGCACTGTTAACAATTCCATTCCTCATGAGTACAGAGTGAGAGCCAAGAGATTGCTGCAGGTATGAGGAAAATGCCACAGCTCTCATATACCTTAGCTGAGTACAGACCCTTGCAGAAGCTGTAGCATACTGAAACATTTTCAAGAAGGAGAATCTTGTGGAAGAAGCCTGATAGAGCTTAAAGATGTGCAATTGTAACATGAACTATTTGTATTGTGTGCTTTTTTGAAGGGTCTGATGTGGTAAGTCACAGGAATGACAGTTTTTGTGGGCAATGGAGAAGGGAGTACTGTCATTTCTGTTTTCAGTGGTTGGCTCTGTGTAGCTTTTTCTTTTTAATTACAGAGAGTAACTTCACCATGAAGCTGTCCTGACTACTCATTATTCTGCAGTGTGAGCTGAGTATCTTAGATGCTTTGAAGAAAAAGATCTGCAAATCTCTGTGTGTAGGAGAGGCAGCTATGAATCAGTCCACACTTAGAAACATACAAAGGCAAAGTAGGTAAAGCAGATATAGCAGAAAGTTCGGATTTTAGATTTTAGTTGAATTTAAAAAGTAGGCTGGGCATTTTAATGGAGGGGTTTTTTTTCCCCTTGAGAAAAGTGGCAAAAGAATGTCTGCTTTCTCTAAAAACAGAGCCTCTGTGCTAATGAACTGAACTATAGAATCTCTCAGTGCTGCTGCGCAGACAGGCAATGAAACAGTAAAGATCCTTCTCCTTTGGAAGGCTATAGTTGCTCCACTGAAGGAGTTATACTTGCTGTCTGTGTTGTTTTCATCTCAGGTATGGAAAGATATGCTTTTGGAAAGCCAGGGTCTAGGCTCAAAATGGAGGTATTCAAAAGAGGGGGAAAACTGACACAGCTGTTGTCATATTTTTAAGTTGTAATGCCTCAAATCAGTCTGTGTAATCATGAGGGACTTGGTGATATATGTAGATGTAATTAACCATCAAAGATACAAATTTTGTATATGGAAGCTTCTATCTTAGAAACCAGACTCTAGCAATTAGTGTCAGATGCATCAATTTGTCTTGCTACTCTTGCTTTTTCTTTTCTGCTATTAATCATTATTAAAACCATTAATCTATCCCTGTACTGTAATTTCAGCAAAATCTTTTCTCCTATTGGAATTGCATGTTCAAATTCCAATCATTATTAGTTAGATATACCTGAACCAGGAAGTGTCTGGCATGTCTTACTTTTGGCAGTAACCATTAACTTGATCACATAAAAGCAGAAGGCTTGTAATACAGTGCTGACCTGTGTACCTAAAAGTATCTTAACACATGTAATCACTCAAAAATAATTTTATTTCATTTGCTACAGTAGTAATCAGCCTTTCCACTCAACACAGGTGGTTGGTGTAGAGTTCATATCAGAGCTGGATGGTGGGGTGAGAGCAGGTCACAGTACGGAGTAGGTCTTACACTAAACAGATAAGATAGATGGGAGGTGAGCTAACACATAGTGAGATCAGACAGGTGCGGTAAAGAAGTCAAAGATCTTGAACTGAAGCTCTGAAAGAACTGAACTACAGCTTCTTTCTTCTTAGCTCTGTGCTCTTTTTCTTCCACTAGACAAGTTTTCTCTCCACACCCTTATTTTCCAAAGTCACCCACCATCTCTGCACCAGTATAGGCTCTGGAAAATGCTCAGTTTTAACCCAAGAAGCCTGACCTGTAGAACTACCCGTGGTCTCTGACCTCTACAGGGTTTTAGCCTCAATTTTTTCTTATTTTCACTCTGCTGAGCTCTTAGAGGCACTAGTATGAAACTAACCAATAGTACCTGATGTTATATTTGCACTTTACATCAGAACACAGAATACCCAATAAAACTCATTATTTGAAAAAAATTACACCCCCTGATGTCACTTGCCAGGAACTTCCTAGTTTCTTTGGTGTGTTCAATCAGTTAAAATAGCTAAATGTTACTTCTGCCCTCATGTGCAGTCAGCACAGGAAAGTCAGCTGTAATTTGCAAGTTGTATGAATGCAGCTGCGTACCACTGTTCGTGCTGAGGAGTCCTGTCTGCAGTAGACAGTTTGGATGGCTCTAGTCTTTTATTAGACCACCTGTGTCATTTAAAGGCTGGATGTCATTTATTGTCTTGCTGCACAGCAGAGAGGTCAGTGCTCTGACCCTAACCTTGTAGAAATGCATGAAGAGACCAGGCTTTTCCCATCCTCTTTAGAAGAAGAGGAAGGTATCGATTATCAACAAGGTAACAGGGAACATGAGCTTGAACTGGTGGAAGGAAATGCAGACAGCTGTGTCTTAGAGTGCACAGCTTTTTGTGACTTGACTTACCATTGCATTTGCAGTGTTTCATGGACAGACCACAAGGGCTGAAGGAGGGCAATGAGCCTAGAATAGTGTGGCATGCAGCCACAGATGTGTGAGCAGGCAGTGACTATCTCAACACATCCTCTTAAGCATTATGGTAGTTAAAACAGGGCTTGGTGTATTCTCCAGGAAAAAGTATTGCTAAGAATAGTTGTCTTATGCAGGGGATGTTCTTACACCTTGTATCTGCTTAAACGTATATTCAAAATCAGGAGGATGCCTGAGAAAGCAGCTGCATGATTCCTTCTGATCAAAATTATGGCACTGATGATTCCTCCTGTCAAACCAGCTCAAGTAGCAAGTTTTCTTGAAGGATAGGGTCATTGTGCTGTGCTATGGACTTGCTGAAACCGAAGCTGATTCCTGTGTCCTAGGGAACAGGTGGTAACCAGAAAGACACATGAATCCTAAGGGAAAAGCTAAAAGAAGGCAGCTGTCTGCTGTGTGGTCTGTGTGCACAGAAGCCTCTAAAGAAGGAGAAGGTGGGGAGAGAGGGAAGGTTTGTCTGCACCCAGCTGGAAGAGTTGTCCCATCCAGAGCTTTACGTGCCTGATTTATGTTTATAGGGAAAATCCTATAGCATCTGCTAGTAACACCCTTGTGTCTGGAAAATCTGGTAATCGGTGTGTTCTGAAATGTGTTTTGAAACACTTCTGGAGGCTGTAGGGAATCCTTCTTGGGCTAAAATACACTGTATGGGGCTTTTTGTAGTGAACGGTAACTTTGAAGACTAGTTGGCGAAGTGGATTTCACATGCTATTGAGTTAAAAGCTTCCTCCAGTGAATTTCTGCATTTGTTGGAACCACAGAGCTTGCCCCAGACTTTTTACAACAAGGGCAACACCTTCTCCTTGTTTCCTGGTTCTTGAACTTGGTAGAAGGAATCAAGTGACATACTTCCCTGGGGAAATGATTTTTACACTCCTTCCTTGAAAACAGTTTTTTTCAGAGAGGAAGAAAGCAGGTGCAATGCCTTAAGTGGAGAAAACTTGATTAGTGCAGTGGGACATTATGAAAAATGATACTTAACTACTGGTGAGGAAATGGCTTTTCTCAGTTACTCTGCTCTGCCAGGTTCATTCAGGCATTGAATTATGAAAGGTGGTGGCACAGTTCTCATTAAGGCCTCTAATGTGGATATTTTAGTGTCAGTGGATGCTACTTTTGGCATGCAGGTTTTGTAGACTGTGTCTGAAAATTGTTCAGAATCTACCTTACTTTTGTCCCAAGAGTTGTACTGGTTCATTTAAAAGTGCAAGTCACAAGCTTTCAGGCCACTTTCACTATGCATATACATTGCACTGTACATTAGCATATGTGTATTACCAGTTGGTAGAGTGTGAGTTTCTTTCAGTAGGGAAAGATGTCTCATTGTAAAACATATATTTAGATTTATGGACATACATTTTTACATCTTCAGAAGCTTTTTTTTAGTGCATTACCTGAATCCTTACATGATGCGAAGTAAGTTACTGTTATCTTCAGTTTTGCAGATGGAGAGAAATGTAAAGGGGTTGCAATGCCTGCAGGTACACAGAAAGCCTGTGGAGTTGTCAGGATTAGCTCCTAATTAGTGAGCTGGTGTGAGGCATCATCTGGAGACTATCACTCTGCATCCCACACCAGCAGCTGGCTCATCTCCGCCTCCTAGAAGGTGCTGAGCTCTTTGGTTTTTGGTTTGTCTTTGCTTCACGGATAACTAGTGCTTGGGTTTGTTTTGGTTTTTTTTCAGATGGTGAAGACAACAAAGTACAGCAGAGTTTGGGCCTTTT